TAAACAAAATCAAACAAACCTTATTATATTGTAAAAGACTAGCCCATAACAAAATTGTTTACATACATAGGTGATTAGGTATATGGAGAAACACTTAACTAAAAACAAACAAGAATTTGTTTGTTTGTAGTTAAGCACAAAGCTACACAATGGGTTATCTGAGCTCTGCCCACCACGGGTATCTATCGTTATAAGTCTGCAGACATCCCGCTGTGACACTGGGGTTGGGGGCATAAACAAGCAACGGTAGAGAACTAACTAGATTGGTGTAAAATTTGTGAGGATAAAAAAAAACATAAAAATCGCCTGATTTTGTATGGTAAGCAAACAAAGTATTTTTCATTAAAAAAATATTTTGTTTTGTTAGACCAAACTTGGAAACACTAAGTTTTTGATATTTTGTTTTATTTAGATGATCTCTTTTTTCATAACCTGAGTCACTAGTATGTTTTGTAATTATTAACTTCAAATTTATTGTAGTTTTCACTTGATAAAATACTTTATGAAAATATAGTTTTAACAGGTATTTTATTCAGATTCAATATATAAATATTGATCTAAATATATTATATTATAGGATATGATACATGATGTTGTTCAGCATCCGATATTATGATGGTCCATGATGTACATTTTCCCTTTAAAACGTTTCCAATGCTATTTTTAAACTAAACTATTTATTTTTATGATTTTTTTTATTCGTGGGGTAGCCTAGAAGCCAGCGTTCCAGGCTTATAACTGGTAGATCCGAGGTTCGAGGAGTTGTAGATGTTGAAAATTCCATTTTATTATTTATTGTTTTCCTCTTCTAAAAGTTGATATGCAGTTTTTCATATTAATGCTTAAAATATCTAGAAAGACCTAAAATAATCAACAGCTAATCATCAACACCTTACAATCCAAGTGAATCATCAACACCTTACGATCAAAGTGAATCATCGACAACGTACGATCAAAGTGAATCATCGACAACGTACGATCAAAGTGAATCATCGACAACGTACGAACAAAGTGAATCATCGACAACGTATGATCAAAGCGAATCATCGACAACGTATGATCAAAGCGAATCATCGACAACGTATGATCAAAGCGAATCATCGACAACGTACGATCAAAGCGAATCATCGACAACGTTCGATCAAAGCGAATCATCGACAACGTTCGATCAAAGCGAATCACCGACAACGTACGATCGAAGCGAATCATCGACAACGTACGATCAAAGCGAATCATCGACAACGTTCGATCAAAGCGAATCACCGACAACGTACGATCGAAGCGAATCATCGACAACGTTCGATCAAAGCGAATCACCGACAACGTATGATCAAAGCGAATCATCGACAACGTATGATCAAAGCGAATCATCGACAACGTTCTATCAAAGCGAATCATCGACAACGTATGATCAAAGCGAATCATCGACAACGTTCTATCAAAGTGAACCATCGACAACGTACGATCAAAGCGAATCATCGACAACGTATGATCAAAGCGAATTATTGACAACGTTCTATCAAAGTGAATCATCGATAACGTATGATCAAAGCGAATCATCGACAACGTACGATCAAAGTGAATTATCGATCGACAACCTATGATCAAACTATATTAACTAGAATTGAAATAATTTAGAAATAGTAAAAATACGATCCTATTAGCAAACTGATTATAAATACGTAATGTTGTGTATCAAGAATCCGAAAACTAAAACTTATTTCGATTACATTGCACTAAATCACAATCTGAGTATTCTCGGTGGTAAAGAAATGTTCAGGTGAAAGTCCAGTAGTATCTAACATAGAACAGTTTTGTAAATGTGTAAACCTTAAAGATACACACTAAGTCAAAAAAGTACAAAATATAATTTATAAGTGTAATTAAAACTCAAAAATATTTAAAATTGTTTTAACGTTCTATTGAAAGTACAATTTAATGAAAATTCACAAAACTGTTATCCTGACCTAGGCTTACATCTAAAACATATCTAAATGTAATATAAAAGTCCTATAAACAGTCTTATAAAAACCTAGACTCACAAGTGAAACATATCTAAGTGTAATATATTGTTACGCATCTGCTTGTTGGATAATTTCCGGTAAAAATTATTTCCGAGAAACTTCAGCGATATAAGTCACTTCTTGATTAAAACTAGTTTATTCTTTCTCAATACAACTTTGCAATACACACAATTTCCACAGTTACTTTAAGTTCAACACACGCTATAATTCACAACGATTCACGCACTTTACTTACCCCTCACTTGACTCAATTATCTGTCTATCTGCAATTATTATCTCTGCTTTATTTGCCGGTCTTATATATAAAAATAGAGGCCGTCTGGCAAACACTCGAGTCTTCATGATCCTTCTAGAAACTCATCACGTGTTACCAGCGTCACTTGACTTCCGCTGTCATAATACTATCTACGAGATGTGACGTCATGTGACGTTTTTCAACAGGGAATGATTTTATGTATAAATACATCCTATAATATCCATAGGATTAGCTAAGAAAGCTACTCAGTGTAGAATAACATGTAATTAAGAATTATATATTTTACATGTTCTGCATCCAGAATGGCGAATCCACATTACCGTTATTTTGGGATGTTAAAAGCACCATAATGTACCAGAAACTGGTTTAAACGATGTTTTCTAAACTTATTACCTAATATTATGTGTTTTAAGACACATAGTTCATGTAACAGAATCGTTTAGAGTGATTGTAAAGGAAATTCCATAAAATGATTATTTATTAACAGCTAAGGCCTAGTGGAACAAAATGTCACCAAAGACATTTTAAAAACCACAAGTTTCATTTATAAAAGTTTCCAAGTAATATCGTGCTGCATGCGACAACATGACCATCAAAGAAGACATTACAACCCATTCACATCTAACGTTAAGATGAAGATATTACAACCGCTCACGTCTAATGTTTACAGGAAGACATTAGAACCCCTCACATCAAGTGTTAACAGGAAGACATTACAATCCCTCACATCTAATGTTAACAGGAGAAGGAAGAATAAACGGTTTATTCTGACAGAAATATCGGGAAAAACCCTTGGATTTTCAACCAGCAGGTATTTGGATGTGAGTTTTTCTCAAAGGGAATGTCTACTGGAATAACCAAGTGAATGTGTATGATCCGAACACGGTCATTTGAAATGTAACTACTACCTAGGTCTATCAACACTGTCCAGAAAATAAATACATATGTGGTGGCTGTAATGCCACTTACATTGGCAAAACTATACGCCAATTACACCTGCGAAAATATGGGAATATCAAAGAGAACTGGAAAACAACTGTCAAATCCTCCAGACATAGTTAAAACCACAACCACCCAATATTGATTAAAAATTTCAAAGTCATCTCATCTGGATCATCCAATATTGAACTTTAAAGAAAGTTTATTTATTCTAATTGAACTCCCAACTTTAAATAATAACACAACTTCGTTACAACTAAGTTATGTTCTAAATAACTTCTATAATATTATTACAGTTGTTGCATTATCCTATTCTTTTTTTTTATTCACTTCATTATTTTATTCTATATTTTAATTAGCTTTTATAAAACGTCTGAACTTTAGAATTTTTTTATACCTAATATTTTACACTGTTCAATATAGCTTGCTGGAGATGTAATATTTATATTCCGAAACGTTCAAGAAATGTTCGGATTTCTTACCGTCGTTCTACTGTTCATCATTATATTTCGATTCCCGTTGAATGAATCTGTTGCTAGTGTTATTAAACGGCGATGTGGGAATGGTACTTTACGGCTATTTCGTTCGCTCGAAAAAATTGACCTCAAACCCTGGAAATTATCAATGGACATTCAATTCTTAACAAATTGCAAGTATCATTAATTCATCCCCAAATTCTTCTATTTCAAAACTGCAAACCGTTATTTCCAGGAATCACCTGCCTATTTCTCGTGTCAACGCCATCTTTTGGAAGAAGAACTGAAATTGAAACAAAAGAAACAGTCTATCTGTCAACATGAATTAGTGAAGAATGAACTAAAAAATAACTTATCATAGATCGACTACAACCACCTGCTAAGCTTGATTAACAGCATTAACACCAAAACCGAGACTCACCTGGAACACAAGCAGAACGTTAAACTGAATAAATTAATTACAGATGAAAATACCAATAGTAATGATCCTAACAAGGTGATTTTTTAACATTAGTGATGTTGTACTTAGTGAACCCTGGAAAAGTTCCATAGCGTAAAATTTTGTTTAGCCTACTTCCTAAATTTATATTCACTGATTACCCGTTCCCTTTTAAGTGCACTTATAAAACTTTAAAATCTCAACCTATTTTCAAACAGCCCTGACTTTCAAAAGTGCTCTTTAATGGTTCATTCTTAAAATGGCGACTTGCGTGGTTTAATTTGATTATAAGATATTTCAAGTTGGCAGGCCATGAAGTTCGCAGTTGTGGGTGCACTTTTTAATTAAACATTGTGGGCGCACGTTTTAATTAAACATTGTGGGTGCACTTTTTAATTAAATATTGTGGGTGCACGTTTTAATTAAACATTCTGGGTGCACTTTTTAATTAAACATTGTGGGTGCACTTTTTAATTAAACATTGTGGGTGCACTTTTTAATTAAACATTGTGGGTGCACGTTTTAATTAAACATTGTGGGTGCACTTTTGAATTAAATATTGTGGGTGCGCTTTGTAATTAAACAGGATTTGTATAATTAAACATTATACAATGTGTGGGCTATTCATTGACCCAGTCAATTACCAAAACCACTTCTCCAACCATTTCCGTGTATGTTGGAGTCAGCTATTACAAAACAGCCCAAGTAAACAACTTCAGGAGAAAATATAAATATACAAGCCCGATTACGGTTATTATAAGCAGACTTGTTAACACTGGAAAACATATTGAACACTTTCTGTGAGAGTGCATCATGCCATTATGTACAAACGTTTCTGAATATAAAATATTTTCAATATGTCTGGGGTGAAAATATGTTTATTAAGATGTAAGCATTTAGAATATAAGGTTTTTGTGATCAGGTGACTTATAAATAGCCATGTACAAAAGATAAATATAGCAAGTACAAATTAACTTTACTAAACTTGACAATTATCGATGACCTTTAAGAAATTGAAATCATGATAAAAGGAGCTCTTATTTTCTCTGAGCGTTAAACAGGAGTATAATGTTTTCAAAGCTAGTCATTAAAGAATATGGGTTTGGCATAGAGTGCTGTTAAACATGGTTACTGAATTTGATAATAATATTAACAACTTGTACACAAGACACTAAAATTTAAACCACATGATAAAGCCGATATGTCATGCTTTCCAGTCATTGGGTGTAAAGATTGTAGAGAAGTGAAACAAGCCATCAAAGCAACCAAAGCGTCAGAGGAAGCCGATTTTTTGTTGACCATACTAAAAGCTTTTCTATGTTTTTAGGGCTGGAAATATGTTGTAAAAGCCAAGTTAGCATGTTAACTGAAAAGCCAAGTGAAGTCACTTCGTGACCATAGACATAATATATTATGAATTACAAACAAATCATTTTCTATTTGCTTCAAAGTCACTAAAAACATTTTCCACTGTTTTTATAGGAATTCCTCTGTTCTTCAAATTAAGCAATATTAATATAAATAACATTAAAATTAATAAACTAGCAATATTATTAACACCGAAACTAACCTTAATTATCCAAAGGATATTAGATATATTGGTAAAACATAGTGTTTGCCATTTTTACAATAATTATGTTAATATGTGGTGTTTGTCATTTTACAATAATTATGTTAATATGTCGTGTTTGGTGTCATTACAGCAATAATGCTAACCTGAGGTGTTTGGCCATATTACAGCAATAATGCTAACCTGAGGTGTTTGGCCATATTACAGCAATAATGCTAACCTGAGGTGTTTGGCCATATTACAGTAATAATGCTAACCTGAGGTGTTTGGCCATATTACTGTAATAATTTTAACCTGTTGTATTTGGTCATATTACAGTAATAATGTTAACCTGTAGTGTTTGTCATTTTACAATAATTATAGCAATATGTGGTGTTTGGTAATATTACAGTAATAATGTTAACTTGTGGTATTTGGTCATATTACAGTAATTATGTTAATATGTGGTATTTGGTGTAATTACTGTAATAATGTTAATATCTAGCGTTTGTTGACTATGTTATGTTGCTAAATATTGCCTGATTTATCATTACCACAAACTACTGAGCAGACTGCTCATCTTCTTACTTGGTCAAATTACTTCAAGTTTGTTTCTAGCTTCTACACAACTTATCTTATTTTTCACTCCTCAAGGAATTTAAGCAACTCATGTCTTCACAGTATTCTTCCCAGATACTTAGTACTGCAGTTCCCTGTTAATTGTGTGAAAGGTTTAACCTTATGTTGTGTGAAAGGTTTAACCTTATGTTGTGTAAAAGACTTAACTTTACATGGCGTGAAAGACTTAACTTTACATGGCGTGAAAGGTTTAACTTTACATGGCGTGAAAGGTTTAACTTTACATGGCGTGAAAGGTTGAACTTTACATAGTGTGAAAGGTTTAACTTTACATAGTGTGAA